TTTCTTGCGTTTTTTTGGCGGGGGGGGGGGGGGGGGGTGGACTGTGTGTGTATTAAGCAATTAAAAAGCCCATGGCATACAAATATCTTTGGGCATTATTCTCATCCTTTTCTACCCCTTGCGCCTCAGTCATAGTGTGGGAGTGGTGGGGGAAAGCTCCAGCAGTGCTACTCCTGGCTTTGTGGGGACATAATGTATTTTTTACAATCCAGCACACTATGAAATAAGCTATGCACTGTGTTTATGAAAGGCAGAATAAAGAAAAAAATATTTTCTAGTAGTAAGCAATGCAAGTAGTAGCAGCTAGGGAGCTGAGCCTGCTCATCCTTATGCTCCCTGTGGATCACATGCAGATGTTACTTTTACTTTTTACACCCCAGGGAATTATGTGCATAAAAGTAACCCCAAATTCATACTTTTCCATGATTACAGTGAAACACCACTATACATATATGTACATATATTAGTCGTGTTTCATTGAACTCACAGAAAAATGTGGATTTGGGGTTCCTTTTTATTCAAGCGAAAAGTGAGGATTTTTTTAAATCAAAGAAAACCGGGATCCCTGGTGATGAAGACTGTAATTTGGACTACAGTTCCCAGAGGCCCCAGGAGGTAGGGGGCAGAGAAAAAGGAAGAGGAAGCCAGGGTGATTGGAAGAAAATGCAGAGAGCTGTGTGAGGGTTAGCGTTGATCGTCCAGGCTCCAGGAGTGCGCAGATGTGGAACTGGAAATCTCCCTGGTTTGGCGGCCAGGGCTGTGGACTGAAGGAGCTGGACTCGGATGTGGGAGCAAGCGCAGGCTGCTGTTTGGGTGCTCTCGGGACTAAAGGCTGGTTTGGCGATACTTCCGGAGGCGGGGGTGGCGGATTAAGGTGCTGAGTGTATGTTACTACAGTGTTAATAATGTCTTTTACCTGTTCTCCACTTTTGGCCCATTAGCTGGTGACACTAACCCCCAAGGTTTTCTATATTAAAGTGGGACCCTCCCCCCTTATTTCTTTTGCCAGTTTCTGGGGCTGCAGGGTGGGCACACTAGTAAGTTACACTCTGATGTTCAGGTGACTGGATCACTAAAGGACAGTGCTCTTAAATATTGCTGCTAGCACTGTATATGCAGTTTTTTCTGATGCCTGTTCATTGAAGCAGCCATGAGCCCTGGTGGCAACAGGGACCAGACACTAGGGTTTCTTCCTTGTCCTCTTCCCTGGGAATATTGTTACTCATGACCTAGAGATGAGTCCCTCTTGTTTGTGATCCTTCTGCTCCTATCAGTCTTGCATTTTTTAGTAAACACTAAAAGAAGGAAAATGTTCCTTTTCCACCCACTCTGTTCCCCTGCCCCCCAAAAGAAAACAAAAAAAATCTCACCCAGCTAATATGTAGCCAGTGGATAGGATACTTTCTCCTAGGAGGCAAGATAGCTGGTTGAATCTTGTTGCAAAAACCTGCAACTGAGATCTCACTTCCTGGGAGACTTTGTAAAGGTCAGACAAGACATTTATGCTATTACAAGTAAGAGGGTGTAATTATTAATGCTATTTTTAATGGCATGATGGATACATTGTCTTGATAATCTGGATAGGGGCTTTATAAATACTTTTATAAACTGCAGCTACAAATAAAATCTGACACTAAAAACAATACTGACACTTAAACAGGTCTGTACTTCTACTCATATGAATGTTCCAATTGATTTCCTCTGAGTTCCTGTTATGTACTTTGAATGGTAACTTGTTACCAGATTTGCCCGTCCCTTTTGGGGTAAACTCATTTATTAGGGTTACATTTCCAGTGTCACTTGTAGTTCTATACAGAGCTTATCTCTCCCTTCTGCAAGTCCTCACCCCCAGTGGAGCTACCTTGCAGGGTTTAGTTTCAATGGCACTTGGTTCTGAATCAATTGAACACACGTGCGCACGAACACACACATACGCACGCACACACACGTCACGTCACGTCTGAGTGGGCAGGGTTACTCAGTATGTCCAGGCTGACACCCTCATATGCCCCAGCTCAGCACTTCCCAGTCTCTTGTCCCAATTGTTCTGGTAGTAACTCCGTTGATAAGCAAACCCCACATGATTTGGGGGCTTTACAGGGGTCTTTGGCTTAGGTAAAAGAAGCACTGCTGCAGAGCAAATAGGGACGTTAAGGAGAAAGAAGAGTAAATGAGGTTCAGAGAGAGTATGGCAATCAGCTTGACCATAAAAGTTATTTTATCGCCAGGTATATGTAACTTGTAATGACACTAATAGTAATAGCCATACAAGGAGAGACAAGCAAACAAAGCAATTACAATATTACACAGTTTTGTTTGGGTATTTAGGGATGTCTAGCTCAAGTTTAACCACAAGAGTCAGATTTAGAAAGCTGTGCCTGGAGTAAGACAGGAGAGGGATTAAACCAAGTCTAGGGTTTAGAAGGTGGGCTTAAACAGAGAGAGAGAGAGAGAGTTGGGGTCTCACCACTCGGCAAAGCTTGAACCGGTCAAGGTTCCTGTTAAACCCCAACTCCATGTGGCACCCAATGACTAGGGAGACGATGGTCCAATTGCCCATGGATCCTGTTACTTATTAGCCAGAGCAAGCAGGGAGCAAACACCAGCACACATTGCTTGCAGCAGCCTTAGTCAGAATGTGGAGACAGCTTCAGGCCAGGTCCAAAAGAGCAACAAACCGGGGACCTGCACTGAACAATCGTTTTTTTCCACATTTCTAAACTTTGGTTTATACTCATTAACATTCACTCCTCCTTTTGTTCCACCCATATCTCCTCCTATCCCAAGCTCCGCCTCTGTTTGCTGTTTACTTAATTACCATGGAATTGCCTATGCATTTTACTCATTTACATGCCTTTTTGCTACAAGCACATGTCTTAGACCTTGACTCCTCTTCTTTGGTCAATGTGCAGACTTTGACCAAAATCTGGAAGCTTCTGGAGTCTTCTTCATCAATCACGATTCACCTTTTCGCATATATTTATTTTGGATTCTGGTACCAGTTACCCCTTATCTGGAGGGGTTTAGGTGCGTCTCTCACTGTATCTTCATTGCCTTTGTAAGTCCTTCTTCTGATCAGTTCTGGTTCAGGCTGAGGTGGAGAGTAAGGGGTGGTGTGAGTCCTTTGTGAGACAGGCTGGGTACTGTGCCAGGGTACCCCAGGAACACAGAGCTGACAGGTAAGGCGTCCCCCCATTGATGGGGTGCTTGCATTGAACGAGTATCCCCATCACATCTGTACTCCATGGTACCAGGTCTGATCTTCAATCCATGGCAGCCACATCAGTCGCTTCATCCAGCAACCCAGCAGAACCAGACCAATTGCTAGTATAATTTGGAAACTGATGATCACCACAATGGGGTGAAGCATGATATTCAAAAGACCTGTTGCACTGGGGCTCCACCCAAGCAAAGCCTCCCACCAGAAGTGATGGCTAGTGTTTTTAACTGTAGCTGCCAGCCTAGAGATCTCCTGGTTGTTGTGTTGAAACTCGGGTTTGCCCTTGTCTCCCAAAGGTCTGAGCGTTTGCAGTTCGGCTTATAAAGAGAAATGAGTGAATAGTCCCTTAATGGTAGAGAGGCCCATTCCCAGTGAAATGGGGGAAACCTTGTAGATCTCCGGATAGGCAGTCAAATGTTGTATAGTCCATATAGGCATGGAAAACTTCAGAACACAACTAAAAACGGTGATTACATTACAAAAACAGCGATTAACATAAGGCACCATGGGTTGAATTCAGTGTCCATTCATTAATATAATATCACATCTTGTTCTCACGCACACACATGCCTTACCAACATAGGCTGGGACTGCGCCAGGGTACCCCAGGAACACAGAGCTGACGGGTAACAAACTGGAAGGCCATAAAGGTCTGTTGGATCATGGGTTCTGATGTCCTCAGTATCACAACACAATTAGACCAAGGCATAGACAGTTTGGTATGGTAGGTAGAGCCAGCAGCTACATTCAGGGAGAATCACATGTCTGGATTCAGGAATCGAGCCAGGGACTAGGAACTGGAGAGTCTGAGGCAGGAACCAAGGTGGGAAGAAGATCTAAAAGTCATTGTCTAGAGGTGAGGAAAGATCCAAGGCCTGAGCTGGAGACAAAGACAAGGTGGACTCTAGGATTCACAGCTGAAGAGGTGAAAGGTCTGAATCCCAAGGCTCTTGACACAAGCAGAGTTGTGAAGGACAGCATAGCAAAAATAAACACAAGCTGGGGGTGCCTACATTGCTGATTCTTGGCCTTACCTTGGCTTTCCTCAAAAGTGAAGGCTAAATAGTTGTAGAAGAGTCACCGGGCAAGAGGGATAGCTGTGTTCTTAAAAATTTCTTGAGACTTTTATGCGAAGAAGGAAATCCTAATATTGGGCCTGAAAGACACATACTAAGAGATCCCTTCCCCCAGGAGCTGAAGGATGAAGATACCCTGGCAATATCAGCATCCTCCACCATTGGGCTGCAGTGTAGTTTCCATCTCAAGCCGGAGTGTCATTCCTAGTGTCACACTACAAATTATTTCTATTACAATTTGTGTTCCAAGCTGCAGGAGCTTGCAGATTGTTGCAGGGACCAGCAACAGCGCAAGGAGTCCATCCATGTGAAAGGGAAGCTCTCAGCGGAGACCTGCAGGTCAACCCTACCTCCCCTTACCTCAGGAGATCCTCAGCGGGACCAGCCAAGTTTTCCCTGGGGAAGTCACCTTGGTAGCCTTGCATTGCGTCCAGTGCTTCTCTCACCAGATGCTATTTACCAGCCACGGTTTCCTGCCCTGCATGGCCCCAGCTCCCCACCACCCTCACTGTTCCAGTGGCATCACTGAGTGTCTCCACCTGCATCAGCACCAGGACAGGCGGAGGCTGCTCTTATACTTATCCTGTTGCTCTGCAGGAGCTCTATGAAAGAGCCATACTACTTTGTGGTTTATAGTACATATGAATGCCAGCAGAAGCAGTTGGATAGGCCTGGTTTAGATTTTGTCACCGTGAGAGACCACAGGACTTTATAATACATAGTCTTCCTCTACAGGAACTCATGTGCTTGCTCACTGTTGATTTAGTTTGGTTGTTATTACACTTGTCCTGCTGGGGTAAACTGTCATATTGAATGAAATAGTTTGAATGTTTGTAAAGGTTGCCCATTAGCCAGTTTCAGGCAGAAGATAGGATTTATCTCCTTATCTAGCTCATTGTTTTGAGGCTATGTGCAAGATGTCTTGACTTCACTTAAAGCCTTAACTTAAATTGTATCTTTAGAAGTCTTTTACAAAGAAAGCAAATATCCTGAATTCCGAGACATCAAAGCCTAAGGCCTTTTAACCAGACTGGTAAAAAAAAAAAAAAAAGTATTTACAGTGATATGGAAGTCTCCCCAAGAATAATTTAAAATGCTCAACAAAGGTAATTTCAAAAGAATCTGTTGAGTAAGATCCGAGCCCTCAATAAAAACTGTAATTTACTGTCCCAATTTGGAGGTGACTTCACTTGCAGAACAACGAAGGAAGAATCGCAAGTATAAGTTCAGATTAGATTGATCGCCTAATCAAGCCTCTCCGTGAACACGAATCTCTTAGTTCACGCTGAAGCTGTGGAGCGCCCGAAAGGGACTGAAGGAAGGGGACGTAGTCCTATCACTGGTGAGCCCAGCTCATTGAATCGTATTGCTGAGGCCAGCCTATTGAATTGTATTGCTGAGGCGAGCCCATTGAATCGTACTACTGAGGCCAACCCATTAAATCGTACTACTGAGGAATGAAACCATATTTTGGTATTTGGCTTCTCGGAATTCTAGGATTGTAAGTATATTATGAAAAATAATAGTATTGATTCAAATTTAACTTTTAGTTGTAATTGTAGTTGTTTTTGTAACACTAATTCTTATAGCATTGTTTGGGAAGGAAGTGCATTCGGAGCATTGTTTCTGATATATGTAATTATTGTGTTTTTAATGTTTGTGGTGTTTCTTAAAGCTAAGCAGTGTTATATACATAGCAAAGAGTTTTAAAATAAAATTGTGTTGTATAAATTAAGTGTGTAATCATTGTGAAATCGTGCAGTCAGCTAACTACTCCCCCAGCCAGTGCATCAAAACGAATCAGTAAATTGTGTGGGATTTTCTCTATTCCATAACTCACTAGAGACATAAACAATAATTGATTAGCTAAATAGGCTAAAACTAGTTGGTCTTATAATAAAATGCTCACTCACTTTGTGTTATTTGTCATTCTCCAGTTTATTTCAAAACACATTTAAAAGTGGCACTAAAAAAAAATCATAGCAATTGCAAAGTTAAGCACAGCAGGTATGCACAGGTAAGAGGCAAGGCAGCCCATGTCACTTCTTTCAGCCCTTATGGATATATGGTATGATATGTTCTTGCCCATCACCACTTAAGGGAGACTATGGCATATTGAAAGAATTCAGCATTTCTCAGTATTTGTCCAATGTAACCACTAGAGCATTTTTTCGCTTTGTTCTTCCCTTGTCCATAGTTTCTATCCTGAGCACTGAATGAGGTCAGAGCCCTTTGCAGCCAGCACCCTGAAATCATGCAATTGAAACCCAAGCTCAGCCTGCATCTTCTTCTCCTTCAGACCTGAGGAAGCCTGCAAGCATGTTCAGTGGCTCTCCCTACTAGACAGTTAGTACAATAAAAGAAATCACAAAAAAGCCTTGCCTCTCAGACCTTTCCTGGACCCTCATCACTACAAGAACCCTCTACTAAAACCCAAATGATTGAAGATGGTTAGTTTTTAGGAACTGAAAAACCGAGTGATATTATGAAATGCATTATTCAAATGTTACCATAGATATCTCTGCTTTTCACCCCAAAATGGCAATGACATGAGTTTTTGGAAATTACAAATACACACATTTGCCAAACCCTGCCAACAGACTTGCCATATTGTATATTGCTTCTTCATTTTTAAGAGATGGAATACAGTTCATATCCTACAACAGTTTCATTTTTGTTGAAATTATGTAGCATCTTTTCACCAATTTTCCTCCAAACTGTGCCATTGTATTTTAGGTGATAATGAATGGTTAAAATATATAATGTAGTGCAGTACTCTGTCCCCTCCCCTTTTTTGCCATTTAGTGGGCAATGGCAGGCTCACATTTCCAACCTGTTTGTGGTGGTGAACTTTGAAATGATGCCCCTCGAGCAGTCTTGAATGAGACAGAGAAGTGTATTATTTGCACATAATTTTAATGATATTATTACAGGGTTTTTATGTTGCTTAAAACCACAATACCAGGGAATCCAGATATGCATACTCTTTCTTTAGCTGAAGATCTAGACTACTGTATATAGAGTGGTGCACTCAAGTCACACACACACAGATTTCCAAGCTTGTGCTCTATTAAAAGACACAGTAGCTGTCAGCAGGTCTAGAATAAGACCCTGTGCAATTTCAGGGTAAGACAAACTGTCAGCCCGAGTGTGAACAGGCTTCCTTCTCACTATAACATGCATCAATAGCACTGCTCGTTGTGGTCTATGTTCATTGGGCGTTGCACGTAGAACAGGAGCAGAAATGAACAGCTAATGTCACAGGCAGACCAGGCTGTATTCTTTTGCATTTCAATCCTGGACTCTGAACCAGTCAGGCCTGCATTCTGGGGGTAGCAGGGATGCCAGGGGAACATCATTCCTGTAGTTGTTCAGACATGGCTGGAAATTCAATAGCATTTTTCTCACAGATGCATTTGCTGCTGTTGGTGCACACCTCAGCCTGAAAGCCCTTTTCTGTTAGCATACCACAGCCAAGGTTGCTGCTCTTGCTCCCTTCAACATGATGCCTAAGGGAGGAAAGCACAGAACTGTAACACCAGGGCTGCAGTAGCGCCCTGCCTCAAAGAAGCACAAGTATTCCCTTGGTTTGAGAAAAGCTCTTTTGGGATGGCTGTGCGACTGAGATATTTCTCAGGGGCACAAATTTACATAATGATAAAGAAGAAAGCTGGTGTCTTTCTGCAGATGAAAGTACACAAGGAAGAGATGGGGTCAGCAGCATGTGGTCATCTCTGCCATCCCAACTTGAAGGGCCAGGTGCTGTTCACAGGGGTTTTGATGGGGTGTGTGTTGATGGCTGGGTCAGGGGTGGGGAGGAGAGGCACTGAGTCTCAAGCAAAGCTTGGACTCACTTCTGCAGCTGTAATAAGGTATCCTTTTTTGTCATTCCATTCTGCAGGTTAATGACAATGGCAATGACAGAGAATGATAATGACAGGTGAGTAATATGGTATTTACATAATCATTAATACTGGGATTAAATCAAAATTGCCAAACACAAGCATTCAAAAGTCACAAGTCAAGGTCTGCATAATAGCAAGTGATTAAAAATAATAATTAAAGAAAAACCAACACATTTTCAAAAGTTTCATTTTCCTGATTAGGGGGGGGGGGGCTGGGATGGACCCCAGGGCTGGCTGGGCAACCCCCCGGGTTTC